CACCCACACCCACACCCACACCCACACCCACACCCACCCACACACACACACACCCCACACCCACACCCCCACCCACACCCATACCCACACCCACACCCTGATTTGAGTCTGTCCTGCCTGTGCATGAACGTTACGCTCACCATGGCTCCACCAGAATGGTTCCTGGCCGCACAAGCGAATAGAACAGCCATTCCTTTGATCAATTCAACGTGGTTTATTTGATAGAAAGGAAAGAAAAAATAATAATCCATCGCAATGAGTCTATTTGATCGAAAATCGTTGGACACGATTATTATTCACATCGGCAACATAGAGATTTCCATGTCGATCAAAGGACAAACTTCCAGGAAGGTTGAACTGATTTGCTCCTTCTCCTTGACCATGTCCACCCACAATGACAGTGCCCTGTTTTGCTCCTTTAGGCCAACGCATCACGCGATCATTCTGTGAGTCTGCTATATAGATGGTACCCAATGTATCGACGAACAGTCCGTAAGGATAATACACTTGTGTCAGAGCATTCCCGTAGCCTTCTTGACCCCCAGCGACGACAATTCCTTCTTTTGCACCTTTATACCATTTCATCACACGGTTATTTTCTTTGTCTGATACGTAGATAGTCTGTTGTCGATCGGCAAAGACGCAGCTCGGAGAGTTGAGTTGATTGAGACTAGCACCTCGGCCATTGCCACCAGCCACGATAGTTCCATTCTTGTCTCCTATTTGATATCGTCTTACTTCATGTTTTTCGGTGTCAGAGATGTAGAGATATCTCTGATCATCCAGAGCCAATCCCCTACACCAGATGTTGTCGACGAGAATTTCTCCTTGAGTTGTACCACTACGACGAAACCATCGTACGACTCGTCGATTCCCTTCATCACAAATAACGAGACTATCCGTCTCTTTGTCAATCAGCACATCGATTGGATAAATCAATTGATTCAATCCATTTCCTGGGCCATTGCCACCAGCTACCACTTGTCCATTCGTATCACCAATCTTCCATTGAATGATACGATGATTGTTGAAGTTAGCGATAACCATCGTTTGATCATCATCAACGAAGAGACCGTAAGGCTCGGAGAGTTGATTGGTAGCATCGCCAAGTCCATGGCCTCCAGCAACGGTCACCCCATTCTGTGCCCATTGGGCATTGACTGGAATATTGGAAATCACTATAATGAACAAAAAAGAAAAAAATCGTCATTATCGTTGTCGAAGAGATCCTCATCTCTCTATTGCAGGGGAGAATACCACAAATGAGACATTCTTCACCTTCGAAGAGAGCTAGGTAAAACTTTCGAGAATGTCCTTCTCTCACAGACTCTAAACAAGAAAAAGTTCTCCAAGCAGATATAAATTCTTAAACTTTTTCCTATGAAAACGAGAATTTCATAACGATTCTTATAGCTATGTCACTTCCCTCGAATATCAATCTTGTTCATTTTTTGAGAAAACTTTAGTAGGATCTATGACAATCTGTGTTTGCAGGAACTTGTTGAAGTTCTTGTCAAGATCTTTCAAATCCTAAAAAGTAGAATCTTTGCGGGAGAGGAAAACTGCGCCTGAAGAAAGATCGATACGAATCATCTCCAGAATCTTGATAAGAATTCATAGGGATCTGAGGATTTGATTCGTGATTGCGAATGGAGAATTTGTGCAAGATTATAAGGAAGGATACTAGCAAGCTTAAATCCTTTAAGGATTTAAGCAATAAAATAATTAACTTTGTCAGATTCCTAAACTGAAAAAATCCTGAGAAGATTTCAACAAGATCTTGTAAGGAGGATGTTAAGAATAAGAATATTGAATACTTGGGCAAACAAATGTGTTTCGTCATCAGTATGTATTTTTCAAGATACTTTTCACTTGATTGGAGAAAATTTCCTGATGACATGATTTTCTAGATTATGACAGCAGTTGCAGTATACCTACCAAGCAGAATTCAGAATTTTGTAATACACCTATGCATCTCTTTGCATTGTTAGTGAAATAAATAGTTAAGAGAGGGTCCGCGAGAGCACCAAACAAGTCGGCTGCCGACAAAATTTAGATTTTTGATTTAAGTATCTCAAATGAAAGGTCTAGTCAAGCCATAGCTAAATCCAAAATTTTAGCTCATTCTGACTACCCTGTGAAAAATGGCACAGTATACAGGGTGTAAAAAAACCATTACGCCCCCCCCCCCCCCTTCCAGACCTAAAGACCAAATAGTACCCCCAACAATTTTATATCAAATGAAAGCCCGCAAAAAGTTACGTCTAGTGGTATAGTCAGAACAAATATAGTTTGTAATATTATAACGATTCTAGGCTCAATACATCATTTTCACTTATGTATCACAGTCTCATATCAATTGAATTGATACAAGTTATCTTTCTTCACTTTCGAATTACGTATTAATAGATGGTAGTTTTCATGGCTCCAAGTTTTTATTAAATGTACGATATCGTAGACCAATATGTCACGTATTTTGCCAAATTTTCGTTTTCTAATGTTATATTTGAGTATCACAAAGCACGTGAGCGAGTTGAGTAATGTTTAGTGTGAATTATCAAAAGCCTTACTATTGATGACTGATAACGAGAAGAAGGAACAGAAAAAAAAAGAAAGTTATGTGCACATTTATGCACGAACAGATAAGAAGAGAATACAGAAAAGAAAATGGTCGAGTGTCGAAATATTTTCAACTTTTTTCATTGATTTTCTTTCTGAGTATCTGTTGTCCGCGCAAGTAATTTTTATTCACGTTAGACGTTGAACAATTTGCTGATTAGTTAATAAAGAATTCTATGGTACATTAATTGAAAAACCAAAATGGCTAATCTGCTTCATGATTCGGAAGAGCAACGATTCATTGACAGAATTCGATGTGTCACATATCGTGAAATACGTGACGAACTGATTGCAAGAACAGGAGACTCAATTATTACTCGCCCTTGGATTTCCGAGAAGCTACGTCGCAGTGAAGATTGGGTACGACGAAATTGGAATAAATCTATCGAAGAATGTTATACACAATTTGGCAGTGGTCGACCCCAGGTGCTTAATCAGGAGAGCAGAAACACTATCTCTTCTGCAAGTGGTGTCAAAAGCAGTAGCTGTCGAAAAGTTGCAAGAGAGATTTTAGAGAAAACAAAACAGCGGGTGAGTCACATGACTATTTACAATGAACGCCATCGGCAAGGATTAAAAGCTTTCCATGTGATTGCCAAGCCACTGAAGACAAATACACATATCGAAGATCGCAAGTGGCTAGCAAATTTTCTTACTGATTGGACTGAAGAAGATTTTCTACATGTTGCACCTTCGGATGAATTTTACATTTATGTTGTAAGAAAACCAAACCATCAAAATGATCGAATTTGGGCAAGAAGTATTGAAGACATCAGTGATGATGAAAGATACCGAGAGATGGTTTACAATGCAACATGTATTGGGGTTTTCGTCATGTTTACTGCAAAAAAACTACTTTGGGTGCTAAAAGAACATGGACAGTCTTGGGATGGCGCTTATTTTCGTGACACTATCCTTCGACAACAGGTGATCCCATTTCTTCGTGATTCGTCCAATGTTCTCGATACGAACGAAGTGATATTTCTTCACGACACGGCACCTTGTATGAAAGCGAATGCAACACAACATCTTTTAGAAGATGAGAATGTGAATTTCTGGGGAAATTCAATTTGGCCAGGCAATAGTCCTGACATGAATCCTGCAGAAAATATTGGTGCAATTATTAAAGATAAAGTTGAGGAACTAATGGCAAATGAAGATCGTCGTAGCAGATACAATTACGATGCACTGAAAACGAATTTGGAGAATACGCTCAAAGATCTTGAAAATGATACAGATCTTTTTATTGACTTGTTATGCTCGATGCGAAAAAGATTTGATGCTCTCAAGGCTGCTGATGGGGGTCATACGAAGTTCTGAAACTTTCGAAAAAGCATTTTTTAGTATTCAATATTATCAATAAACTGAATAATTAATGATTCACAACTTAAGTTACTGTTGAGCACAACGGCTTTTGACGTACTCGAGATTGTGATATATAAGTGAAAATGATGTATTGAGCCTAGAATCGTTATAATATTACAAACTATATTTGTTCTGACTATACCACTAGACGTAACTTTTTGCGGGCTTTCATTTGGTATAAAATTGATGGGGGTACTATTTGGTCTTTAGATCTGGAAGGGGGGGCGTAATGGTTTTTTTACACCCTGTATACAAACAGTGTTTTGATGTCTTGAGAAATTTTTATTCAATGTAACTTATCTATTGTTAAACAAATTATAGTAAAACTGCCTGCCCTTATCAACGTAACACTACACTACTATTCATTTCAGAAAAACATCAACGCACATTGTAAAATACAGTTGACACTTTCATCAACAAAGGTCTTTATCAAACTTATATAATAGATATGAAAATGCACGTACACTATTCATCAAAATCTTAATATCAATCACTATTTGATCTTACAAAACAAGCCATTTTTCTTTCAGACTTTGAGGCAACAAAATAAAGTTCATGCTTTAGTAACATCGTATACTTCGACATCGCGTCGCATATATAGTAGACATTCAGCATAAAGTTTCAAAAAGTAAATCATTCTTACAATCACTATAATCATGTACGGACAAGAATAATAACAGAAATTCTTTTCCAAGAATACTCGTCAAAAGAATCAATTTTGTAGGATTTTTTTCATTGCGTGTGGGTGGGTATGGGTGTGGATTAAGATAAGATCGACACCCACACCCCACACCTCACAATTACACTTAGACTCACATCCAGCTAGCAATGGCTAAACTCGCAATTTGACCATTCCGATTTCATGAAGAGAAGAAGTAGGTTTTTAAAAAAATTTATTTGTGGATATACGTGTGAATGAAGACTCAGAGACACATTCATATTCCATATTCATAATGTGTCCCATACAAAAAACAGGAAAAGAAGAGTCAGCTCTGTATATATCCATAACGGCGACGCTTGTTTTTAGCTTGCATTTCATCTTTGGACATCGATAGTTTTGTTTCTTGAATAACTGACAGACTCATGACAGGTTTGTGGCGATTGTCGGCTGAATAAATACCATGAAATCCGCCAACAATGTAACAGCTCTTCACTTTGCCGGTCGCTTGATCTTTCAGAGTTACAGGCACACGAATGTTAGGCAAGACGATATCTATCGGATCCGAAGTGGCGCCTACTTCCAAGCCGAACAGTTGTAATAACCAACCAGTAATTAATTTTCCTGAACCACCGCCTCCATATTTCATTCGAGGATTTCGTGTGATGTCGCACACTTTAATCCAAAACTCTTTATTCACGTTTCCTTGATAGGTTTGAATAAATTCATCAAAAATAGGTAGAACCCCATTGACATAAGTACGAAATGCGTTATCACCAAAGCATTGTAACTGTTCAGTCTTGGTACGAAGTGATTGCCAATCATCAAGAGTGCCTAAAGAAGAATTAATAAAGTTTCGATTGTTTAATTCAACTATAAAATTGATTTCAAACTGTTTTTCTCAAATCAAACTATCGAT